AAATTCAGATCAAATTTAATTAGAGTTGCCCACAGTTAGCAATGGTGATCTTCTTGATGGTCTTGCCATTCCTGGAACCAAAACGCTCCATGGCTTCCACAATGTTCATGCCTTCTTTCACCTGACCGAAGACCACGTGCTTGCCATCCAACCTAGAAAGTGAACAGTTACTATTACCAAACAGGTAACAGCCTGCATTTTACAGTATCCCCCTAAGTCAATAGAGCATACTGAAGGGAAATAACTTTACTACTATTAACACTGTCTATACCAAAATCTCAAAATGAAACGAGAAAAAAATCAACATTTTAAGAAGCCCATTTTTAAGTCATTTATTAGTTTGCTTTACTTTACATAGAGCATACTGAAGGGAAATAACTTTACTACTATTAACACTGTCTATACCAAAATCTCAAAATGAAACGAGAAAAAAATCAACATCTTAAGAAGCCCATTCTTAAGTCATTTATTAGTTTGCTTTACTTTACCCTTACCATTCAGTCTTCGCGGTACAGATGAAAAACTGGGAACCGTTCGTATTGGGCCCAGCATTTGCCATCGACAAGATGCCAGGACCGGTGTGCTTCAGGATGAAGTTCTCATCTTCAAATTTCTCTCCATAGATGGACTTGCCCCCAGTGCCATTATGGCGCGTGAAGTCACCACCCTATGAAGAGAATAAAATGTGAACACGCCTCTGGGAACCACAACTAGAGATTCACCGAACCCACAAGGTCCCAACTCAAGTGAAAATTTGGGGCTTAATTCCTATTTAAGAGGGCAGCCTTCAATAAAAATCAGATTACGCTCATACCTGGCACATAAACCCTGGAATGATTCTGTGAAAGCAGGAACCTTTATAACCAAAACCTTTCTCCCCAGTGCTCAGAGCGCGGAAGTTTTCTATTGAGGGGGGAGAAAAATACATGTAATGAAACCACTAAAATTTAAATACTCTTGTTAAAAAGAAAATAAAGAAACCAACCTGCTGTCTTTGGAACTTTGTCTGCAAACAGCTAAAAGGAAAGAAGAGAAAAAAAGTTAAGTAACAATATCCACAATTACGTCTTGCTCCTTAGTACGTATGCCTGGTCACTTTCCCCAGTAAATGTGCTTCTTTGGCGGTCAATTTGAATGCCAGCCTTCAGGTCCCTTGGGATATGGGTTAAAAAAATGTAATTGGCAAAACTCAGGGATAATAAATACTTCTGCTCTATAAATCCTTAGCAAGCTATTATTTTAGCCACTGGTACTTAACATTACTATTTCCGAGCTATTAACTTTGTGGATGAAAATTAACGACCACCTCTTGGTTTCCAGAGCACCTGCTCTGTACTCAATGTAGCTATTCAAGTTGTTCTTAAACTACTTACAATAGATAAAGTTATAGAGGAATAATATTCTATGTGGTTAACCATCACAAGCAACATTTGCAAGGCTTATCTGAAAGTAGGTAGAGGCCTATAGTCTCTAGAATACCTGTTTTATAAGAACATACTAAACTTTTCTCAAAATTATCCATATTTCTTCCGTTGCTGCAGTTATTTTCAAGTAAAAAGTCCTTAGTCGTTCCAGATCTCATTTAGACTAACTGGAAGGGCTGCCTGCGCAATGGCACTCACAGGCCAAGTTTCCACTAGGGTCCTTGTCACACTGGGATGTAAAGTTACTTACCAGATCGGGTAAACCAAACTATTACGAGACTTTCTACTCCCCTAAAACGTTTCTGGCTTTTCAAAGACTATCAGGCGCCCTGGTGCAAGTGCTGGACTGCGAACCATAAGCTAGGCAGTACTTCAAACTCGTCAGCTTCGGTGCTGGTGTAAGGTGAGGCAACCCTGCTGCAGGTAGGACTGTATTGGGTGGTGTGGGGAGGCTTCTAAGAGCCAGAGGAGGCCTAGTACTGCTTGCGTACAATTGCCCCCTCTACATTTACATACAGGGACACTGGGAAGTGGTGCCACGGGAGGCTCCCATCGCAGCACAGTCACTGCAGAGAGGCGGGCGTTAAGTAGGAGGAAACCACCAGCCGCCCTTCAGATTTCCGCTGGGGGAGGGGAGGGGGCAGCGGGAAGGAATTTTAGGATTTTCCAAATAAATTTTCAGGCTTTAAACGAACCCGGGAAAGCATTTGAACCAAACTACACGTTATTTTAATTGTTACGTGATCTTCCGGGATTCAGGGGCAACTTAGCCAACAGAACCCTCTCGAACACATACTTCAGTACGTAAAATTTTCAAGTATATAGTTCTCCAGTACCCCCCGGGGCGGGGGTGGGGAGCATCTCAAAACCCTTTATTGACCCTCCTGAAATACACACTTGGTTGTCTTAACAGTTTCACGTTTTATGAAAAACGACTCCAATCCTAAGTCAAACGCTTTTTTAGTTTAGGGCGTTCCCAGTCCCTAGGGGTCCTCGAAATCGATAGCTTGAATCTCAAGCGCTACCATTTGTGGCTCTCCTGCACTACACCCCCCAAATTCAGGCGGGGCCCACAGCACTCGCGCGCTGGGCCGCCGCTCCCGGAAGGGCGCGGGCAGCACGTGCTGCAGAGGGTGGGCGCGTGGTCCCAGGCCACGGTCCTCGGCGACCGTTGGGGGAGGGGGTAGCGGCCTGCTCCGCCCCTCGAGCCTTTGTCTGCCCGCCGCCCGCCGCCCCCAGCGCCTCGCCCGCCTTCCAAAATGGCCCCTTCTCAGGAAATGGCGACGCGGCCACCCCCGCCTGCCGGCCGCACCCGCGCTCCGACATGGGTCCTTGCCCAGACCGGGTTCACCGCCGCGACGCCCGCTGCCGCTAAGAGTCGGCGGCCGCCTAGCCTCCGATCTCTCTACCGCAACGCAGTCCTCACCTCGAAAGCGACGCGGCCGAGGGGCTCGCCGTCGACGGCTATGTCGAAAAACACAGTCGGGTTGACCATGGCTGGACACAACAGAGACCAGACAAGACTACAAATTCAGGCGGCGGCGTCTGCAAAGCGGCAAGAGCGTGGCCACCCCGCCCCTTTTATAGCGGATTTAGGCCACGCCCTCAGGCTGGTCGCGCGCCCCAGCGTCCACCAATCACGACAGAGTCCAGGTTGGAATGATGGCAGTATTGGCCTATAAGCGGAGACCTCGGTGCCGGCGGGCATGGAAGGGGCGGGACGCTGGCGGGTGATGGACGGGAAGCAGGTTCCCGCCCGCGGTCTGCGTCGGGGTGGCTGCGGCACTGAGCTGGCAGCGTGGGGCTATGGGGGAAGGATTCTCGAAGGGAGCTGGGTAAGAGTGCGGGTGCGAGCAGAGTGCTGGGGAGGGGACAGAGGCCAGAGCTCTGGCTTACAACTCGGCTCTATGCAGCCGGTGAAGGATCGTCTCCCCATTGCACAGAGGGGGCAACTGAGGGAAACGTAGACCTCAAGGTCGCGCTGCCCGTCAAGGTCAAAGAAAACGCGCCATTCAGGAAGATCTGGGCCTGGTCGGTCCCCGACCTTGATCTATCACCGAACGGAAGTGAGAGATTCCTTATTCCTGTAATCCAAAGGATTTATGTCCACATTCTGACTTCAGGGGCACAGACAAGGGTGTGGGTTGGATATGGTAAATTCTAAAACCATAACGCTAGGCGTTTTGTTCCCTTTTTTCATCAGGGAACCCACCTAGTCTATTTTTAGGGAGATGAGGTGGCTTTGAGCATCACCATTTTCTCAAAATCTGTACTCAAATCATAAAGTACTTTTAAAGTGCCCTACTTCTGAAAATAATTTGCATATTCAGCCTGAATTTTCTCCAAGAGGAAGATAATAAAACAGACCTGTCCAAGCCCCTTACCTATAAAGACATTGTGCACATTTTTAACTTAAAAATATATTTTTTTATTTTCACGATTGGTAGTGAAAAACAGCAACAGTTTAAACACGAATTTCCACAGATAAAGATAATTATAACATTTTTATTACTAGAACTAATTGCACTTAGAGTTAAACTCCAAATTCACTGCCATTTAGTCAATTCTGACTGCTGTCCACCCAAATGTGACCCTAATCTACCATTGCAGTGTTCATAATGTATCTAAACCTCAGTTTCTCCCTCTCTGAAGCCAGGATACTAATCGTGTTTGTTTTATAGAGTTGTGAGAAGTAAATGTGATTCTTATGATTCTTATTAATGTTATGCATGACGTATCATGAGTCGATCATGATAACTTCGAAATTTAGATAATTTAGAAAATGTGTTATTTTAGTCAACCCTGTGACTGAGTGCCATCAAATCGATGCCAACTCATAGTGACCCAATAGGACAGGGCAGAACTGCCCGTGCGAGTTTCCGAGGCTGTAACTCCTCACGGGAGTGGAAATCTCCATCTTTATCCTGAGGCGTGGCTGGTGGTTTTCAACTGCTGGCCTTTTGGATCACAGCCAGTGCACAACCACTACGCCAGCAGGGCTCCTCAACCCTGTGAAGTTACCTTATTTTACTGTTGTGGGAAGTAAGGGCCCTAGAAGTTAGTAGCTTGTACAATTTATGGCAGGTCAAACCCAAACTGGAAACTACTTTTTTTCCTCTGATGCAATATCTGTTGGTGCTCTGTGACCTGGAGGAAGCTACTTATCCTCCATTGGCACTGAAAAAAATGAACCTAAGCCACAAATTCCTTCAATTTCTCTTCCCTTCATCCTGAAATTTTGAACATTTAAGAGCCCCTCCTCTAAGAAATAAGCATGAATGAATAATCAAAGAAAATCATTTTTGTGATTTCTCTTCCCTCACTATTATGTAAGGTCTCACTTTTCATCAACTTTAACATAGTCATAATAGTCAGTCTCCCTTAATCTACACAGTTACAGAGTATGCACAATCAAGGATATGAATATGTCCAAGTTTTGTTTGTTCAGGAGAGCTAGTGTTGTAGTGCCTCCTTTGCCAGCATTGTCTGTTGGCCTGAACTTCCTAACCAAAATATCAGCAGGTACAGAATCTTAGGAATGTGGGCCACCTACCCCCTAGCAGATGAATCTTTCTAGAAACACATCCAATCAAGTTCCGTTTATCTTGTTCCCACACCTGGAGGTGTCACCTGTAGCAGGCAAAAATCCCATCGTCTTGGTTCATGTGATATAAGCAATTGTCCGTCTCAAAAAATGGACAGAAGTGTGAGCAATAGAGGATGTACATGAACAACAACAAAGTTATTCAATCATAAAAAAAATCATTCAATCATGGAGGAGGTTTGCTAGGTGGCATCTAGTTTTTTTAAATTAATTTTATTGGGTCTCATACAACTCTTATCACAATCCACACATACATCAATTGTGTAAAGCACACTTATACATTCGTTGCCCTCATCATACTCAAAGCACTCGCTTTCCGCTTGGGCTCCTAGAATCAGCTCATTTTTCTTTTTCTTTTTTTCCCCCTCCCTCCACACTTCCCCCTCCCTCATGAACCCTTGATAATTTATAAAGTATTATTTTATCTTATCTTACACTACCTGACATCTCCCTTCACCCACTTTTCTGTTGCCCATCACCCAGGGAGGAAGTTATATGTAGATCCTTGTAATCGGTTCCCTCCTTTTACCCCCTCTTTCCTCCACCCTCCTGGTATCACCACTCTCACCACTGGTCCTGAGGGGTTCATCTGTCCTGGATTCCGTGTTTCCAGTTCCTTTCTGTACCGCTGTGCATCCTCTGGTCTAACCAGGTTTGTAAGGTAGAATTGGGATCATGATAGTGGGGTGGGGAGGAAGCGTTTACAAACTAGAGGAAAGTTGTGAATTTAATCAATGCTACACTGCACCCTGAGTTACTCATCTCCTCCCCACTCTAGTTGGTTTATGTCTCAGGGTAATTCAATGTGAAAGAGTAGAATTGCTCCATATAGTTATCACTATGGGAACAGATTACCAAGTGCTTCTCCTGAGAAGTTTAGGGGGGGTTCAAACTACCAGCCTTATACAGTTAGTAGCTGAGTGCATTTCCCCACAAATGCACCTTTGGCAAAGGGTAATGTGTCAGATGTACCTTTTGCCCAGGGACTATCTTGCAAGACACTTGAAATTGTGCTCTTGCTTTCAACACTGAATGGAAGTTGATCCTGCTGAAACCATCAATGCTCCTGCATATTGACCACCTCCTGGTCTTGATGTCTTTGTTCTACTTGCTGGCTGCTGCATCATAGATGTCTCTCTGTCAGTTAAACGCTTGACTTTGCCCTGTTTCATCACAAATCCACCAAGGTTAACCTCATCCATCCCTATGGGCTCATATCTCATAATTAACTGGTGACTTCTAAACCAAGCTCTCCAGCCCACACACACACACTGCGCAGCTCCAGGTGGGGTTACCTGCCTACTCTTCTTTCACAGGAATGAGCCCTTCAGGACGGAGTTCCTTTACCACGCTTCCCCTTATACAGACCTTCTTCTTCCCCCAAGCCTCTTTTTTCCCAACCCCTTACTCCTATGCTGAGGAGCCCTGGTGGCCTGGTTATATGTTGAGCTGCTAACTGCAAGATCAGCAGTTCGAAACCACCAGTGTCTCTGTGGGAGAAAGACAGGTGTTTTTATTCCCATAAAGAGTTATGGTCAAAAAAACACAAAAAAAAACAAGGTATTAAATCTTAATAAAATCTAAATTATACTAAAAAAAAAAAAAAAGAGTTATGGTCTTGGAAACTCACAAGGGCAGTTCTACCCTGCTCTATAGGTGACTATGAGTCGGCATTGCCTGGATGGTGATGAGTTTGGTTTTAGTTTTGCCCCTCTGCTGCTATTGACTGGACTGTGCTAGCATGCTTTTTGTATTTATAAACCATCTGATCATGTAACACCTTTGCTAACCAACCTCTGCTGATGGCCAGGTTCCCTGGCAGCCCCTTCAGAGTCTGGTCTGTGCTTGTTCTTCCAATCTCAGATGGACATTTTTTGTCACTCTGCTTTCTTCTTAGTCTCCCAGGCCTTTATTTGAAATCTTGATTGTGTTATTGTTAAGAATATACACAGCAAACCATGCACCAATGTAACAAGTTCTACATGTCCAATTCAGTGACAATAATGACATGCTTTGAGTTGTGCAACCATTCTTCTTTGGGAGTTGTACTTTCTCTGTTAACATGAACTCACTACCTGCTCTCTAATCTTCTGAGTTGTGTTGTTCATTTATTCCCATAAAATTGAGCATAATGCTCAAGGCAGACTTTTTTTTTTTTTAGCTAACTCACTGCCATTGAATCAATTCTGACTCATAATGTGAGAGCAGAGTTGAATTGCTTCTTTGAGTTTCTGAGACTAAATCTTTCTTTCTTTTTTTTTTAAGTACAAAAGCCAACACTTTAATGACATGGGGTGGTGACAGCATGGCTGTACCACTACATTGGAAGCGCCAGCTGTACTTGAGAGGTGTATCTAGTTTCTTCACTAACCTTTGCTATAGCACTTATGTCTTCAGTGATCTCTTCATGAGGTCTGGCATAAAGCAGGTCCATGTCATAAGAACTAATTATTCAAGAGTTACCTATATTCCTTATGAAGTTTTTCTTTCTTTTTTTTAAACATAGGAAGTGGTTTCAAAGAATTCTTCCTTAATGCTGAGGTTTCAAAACATAATACTGTTTTTACCATATTTCATTATTAGTTTGCATGTTTATTGGCATCTTCTTAAGGTGAATGCTTACAATGGCTTTAAGTAATCATTTATATCTAATGGCACCTGTCTTGAATTTCAAAGCTTATTTTAAAACGCAAACAATACATGTAAACTTTTCATAAATAAATCAACCATTTCATCTTAAAAAAAAAGAACTAATTATTCTTAGATTGGGGCTAGAATGAAGTGTAAGCCCCAAATGCACTCTTGTTGAAAAATCATGTTTGCTATGAATAACTCACTGGTTTTGCAAACTTCTATCATGTGATTTCCAGCCTCACTTCCATCACCAAGTCCATAGCTTCCAAGTCCTGTTCCTTCCTCTTTGTTCCCAA